GGGGGGGTGGGGAGGAGGTGGGTTTGTGTTTTGTTGTTGTGTTGTGGGTTTTTTTTTTTCTTCTCCCTGTAATGCTACGTATTTTGTAAAACCCTGGTTCTGGTGGGAGCTCTTGGTGTGGGGAGGGTTCTGGGCGCTGAGATTTGCTTCCGCTCCTGGGTGGGCAACTGTGGTGTCTTTGACTGGGAAGGCGCAGGAAGTATTTTTAACAGCTGTGTGGTGAGTAATACCACTGTGTGGCTGCTACAGAAGGATGGAAAGGTTGGAGGGGACCTGTGTATGTACCAATTGCTTTTCTGAGCGTTTTGCACAGCTGAATTGCTGGAGGCTTCTCTAACTTATTTCAAGTAGTAATTGAATGAGTTAATCCTCTACTATATTTAAAGTAGCTTTAGAATTACAACTTTCGCATTAACAGAAACTGTATGAATTGTAATCTCTTTTGCCCTGGGCTATTCCTAGCTATTTACTTATAAATATGACTTCTGATATGTAGCAAAAATGCATTGTAATTATTACAATCAAAAGGAAATGGCCTCTATCAAAAATACCACAGTTTTGTTTTTTCAGTTTTTAGACTGGTAGAGTATTATATTTTCAATATTCGTTTATCCAGAATGGATAAGTTTATCTGTTTGTCAGTTGTAATTTTATTAAACACCCTCTGCTGGAGATTACTATGCAAAATAGATCCTGTTGTTAACATCAGAACTGTTTTATAAACAGAATTGCAGCCAGCTAGAGCTTTAAATTCAAATATTTTTTCATTACCAAGCAGACACTGAGACGGTCTGCTGTAGCTTAGAAAACAGTGAGTTAGAATAATGAATAGCAAAAACTAATGTGAAGGAGAATATTTACTGTGAGGTGGTAGAGTGGTTTAAAGTCATATTTCATAAATGTGTGTTTGTTAGTGTGGCATAATTCAATGATGTCCTGGCTGATCTTGACGTAAAAAACTCCTGTGCAGCAACAGTAAATGTCTTCAGAGGAAGATTAGTATGTGAGAGACAGTACTATAAGAAGTGTAGTAAAACTGGACTATCTAAAAGGTAAGAGTGAGAGAAGAAGACGCAAGGAAGGCAAGCACAAACTGTGTTAGGCTGCTTTGTAAATTTACGTGTTATGGGACAGTTTTCAGGACTGCCTGAAACTCACCAGTGGCTTGAGTGCTACAAAGGAAAGATTAATTTGTTACGCAGCATAAGAAGTAACATGAACATAGTTGTTGACTTCCTGCATGCTCAGAGGGGAGAACTAGAAATCTGCTCGATTCTTGAATTTTTTGTAGGAAAAAGGAGAATTTTTTAATTCCAGGGTCATATGCATTTATCTGTTGTTGAATACTAGTGCTGTTCAGGTATTTGGTTACTGAAGAATTCAAAATGAGAAGTTTCTGAAGAGTGAAATAGGTGTTTTTCTCCATGAGATTCCTTGAACTATACCTATTACATTTTTGATTTTTGCAACAGGAACCTCAGCAATACCAAGCAACTGTGAGTGTGAAAATCATTTAGACCCTTTTCAGCACTAAGGTTACAGAAACCTTTTTTTTTTTTTAATTTAAAGGTAACTCATTTCTGACTTTAGGCTTTCTCAATACTAAGCTGGTGCATAGAGTGGTGATATTAAGGTTCAAAAAGATCTACCATTCTTATCTCTCCATGGATTTCTAAGTGCTTCTCTTCCCGAGTTTTGCTATCACTAAGTGCTTGTTCTTGCTGAGATACCATATTATGAGGTAAAAATTTGGAATATGGCATTTGTTATGAGCACCACAATTTTTTCTTAAATGTCTGGGAAGCTGCAAAATAAGCCCCAGATGCACGAGGGAAGTGCAGAGATGATGAGGATGCAGCAGAACTTGGTTGTTGGGATTCATGTGCCTGGTCTAGGTTAACCTGAATGATTAGTTCTAGTTGCTGTTCTCCCACATTTACTGTGTGGTGTAAGATGTGTCACGTATGATCTAATTGAAAGGTGTGCTATTTGGTTCTTTAATGAATAAGTTTGGGACTTCATTTTTGCCTGGGATACATGGCTTTTTTCCTTTTTTTTTTTTTTTTTTTTTTTTTTTTTTTTTTTTTTTTTGGCAAGCCAGTAGTAGGTATGTGCTTCCATTTATAAGGTTGTCTTGCTTTTAGAATAAGGTTATCCTAAACAGTGATATATTGGAGGTTTACCCCAGTGGTTTTATTCTGTCTAAGTGGAGACTGAGTGTAGAAAGACCTTTTACTTTTCCTCATGTCAAGAGTTTCAGTACATGATTTGTTTTGAGTTTAGACTATAGTAAATTAAAGGTCTCTGCAACTTGACAGAGGCATATGAAACCCACCAATTTCTAGATGTATGCAAAAGTTAGGGTGGCATGCTGATAGATATCTGGACTGCAGAATATATCTTGAAAAAGATGCGTAATTTGTTTTGTTTTCAAATGCTGCTGTTGAGGTAAGGACAGAAAAGTGGTGCGTCCTTGAAAGCAGCAGCTGTATCAAGTCTATTGAATTAAATAGGTTTCACTCTTGTGTGACAATATCTTGTGTAATATATAACAGACCTTCTAAAGCTCAAGGAATACTACGTCCCTGTTGACAGTTTAAATTAATCTTAGTATATTACAAAAATTAAAAATCATTATCTTGTCCTTGTGCTATGAAGCTTGTTACAAAATATATGGCTACATGTAGCATAAAGAAGCTTCAGTTAACTTTTCTGGATGTTAATTGGATAAGCTTTAAGATTTATGATAGAACTTGGACGTCTTCATTGCGTAAAAATGAGTGTCCTTTGGCGCTTCAGGTAGTACCTAAAGCAGTTGGTTCACATATGGCAAAAAAACCCCAGCTCTGTATATAAGGTTAGGAGACAGCTGGTTTTGCTATAGCTCCAACCACCCCTCCACTTCCCCCCAGCCAACCGTGGTAGCTTTAGATAAATGTTGTCAAAGACCAAAGTTATTAGCTTATGTTATCTATTTGGAAGCTTGTTTATTCATTGTGGAGAAGGTTTTGGAGCTTATTATTATGTAGTTTGTCCTCTCATGCAGAATCTGGGCTGGATCTTTGGCTGTCTGTGGATCTGTGTACCTACACTGATTTAAACCAGCAGAAGGTTTTGATCTAGTGATTTAAAGTGTTTTAGAGATGTACCTGCTAACTTGATAGTGAAGATAACTGGCTAGGGTTGAAAGCCTGTTCATGAAGAAGGCTTGGAATCTTAAAGAGAGAGAAAATAACAGTATGTAAACATGCTGCTGAAAGCTGGAATATAATTCATGCAGCCAACAGGGGACAGAGCTAAAGCTGTGGTGGTTATTTAAATTTTGGTTTTTTTCTAATACTCGAATGTTTCATTTTCAAACTCTTGAAAACAAACTCTTCATTTCAAGTTCTTGTCAGGCAGAGTGTGGCAGAAGAGGAGGACTTTAACACCACCTTCACCTTGGTTTAGGTTACAGTGCAAATTGGAAAAGCCTCACAGGTGAGGCAGGGGCATGTTTCCAGAATACCAGAATAGAAAGGCACTTTATCCATGCAGCTTCACTAGGAAAGAAGTCTCAGAAAGGCTGTTGTAGCATTGTGCTCCCTGAGGAATGGAGCCAGCCCTTCCATAGCTGAGGGCTAGTATTGGTTCAGGGTCCCATACTTCTCTCTAGATTTTACTTTTTTCTGACATAATTATTCATTGCTTCTACTAACTGTTTGCAACAGGAAGGGGAAAATATTTTCTATCTGGCTGTGGAAGATATTGAAACAGACACAGAACTTCTGATTGGGTACTTGGACAGTGACATGGAAGAAGAGGAGGAGGAAGAAGAAGAAGTAACTGTTATCCAGGAAGATGAAGACAGTGGCAACAATAAAGAAGTGCAACCAGCTGGTGAAAAAATAGCAGGTGAGCAATATGTAAAAAATAGGATAACTTGAGAGCTTAAAAGTAGTAACAAAGAAGAAAGAGAACACTAACTGTATAGGATTGATGAACTGAAAGGCTCCCCAGATTTAGTCTGAGCTCTTTTATGATTTTTATCTCTTCATTTGGGTTTCAGTTGAGGTTCTTTTCTTTGCCTAATAAGAAGCAGCCAGTTCTGTGAATTCCTGAGTGAATGAGTGAGCCTAGATTTCGTGAGAAGTTACCATTAATTTTTGAACTAAAGATGGAGTTCATTTCAGTCTTATGGAAGCTAAGTTTTTACTCTAAGAGGTGTAGTTTCCCTCTTTCTTAGATGGGAGAGAAATAAACCTTTTCATAAAGCTGTTCAGCCAATCCTAAGGCAAGATGTCTGAGAAAAGGTAGGTGACTTGAGCTGTCTGGTGAATTCTCAGCATCTTTATCAAAGTAGAGACAACCTGGATGACTAATTGAGGCTAACAGCCTGATTCATACCCAACTTAATACTTTGCATCCATTTTCAATAACGCTGATGGTAATCCACTCAAGATAGGCTGTCTATAATGCATTGAGAGACAATGTCTTTTGTGAATTTTGTGATGCCATTTTGCATAATCTGTTTCTGGCAGAGAGTCTCTCTTAATGTAACCAAAATATTCCCTGAAAACTGTTCCTGTACTCTTTTCGCCTCCAATCATGCAGATACCCTCACCTGTAAAGAGGACCATGCATGCCCAAACTGCGAATCCAGTTTTGCCAGCCAGGAGATTCTAGCTGAACATCTTCAGACCTTGCACCAAAAACCCAGTGAAGAAAAGGAATTTAAGTGCCGAAACTGTGGAAAGAAATTCCCTGTTAAACAAGCTCTACAAAGACAGTGAGTAGAAGCAGGAGTGTTTTTGCAGGGATCATTTAAATCAATTTCATTCAATCATTTATTTCTCTTAGCTTAATCACAATTTAAGATTTAATTTTTATGCTTATGTATTTGTACCCTTATCCTTTATATTAGTCTTTTAAAATGTTAATTTCTTTTATTTGTTGGAGACTTCAATTTGAATCGCAAAAATGTCGCTGATTTTTTTGTGTTTTAAAATCATACACTGTAGACCAGATCAGAGCTGCTGTTTGGTGCAAAACCCTTGGTCTCCATCAGTGGACTATTTAATAATTTAGGAGATGTAATTTTTAAGCTGTGGATGTCGTTACAGAATTAAAGTAAGATTTAGAAGAAAGTAAATGGTGATCTAGAAGGACAAAAAACCAGGAAAAACAGTACTTCACGTTTGCTTAATTAAATATTTGGGTGATGGAAAAAAACCCAGAGAAACATGAAAGATGTGAGATTTAAGAGCACATCTTTACTGTCCTTGATAGTGTAAATATGCAGTTTTGTCACTAAGGTTTACAATTATACTTTTGTACAAAAACATAACTGTTTTCGTCTTTTGTTGTTTATATATTTTTTGCTTGCAATTAAATAGATGTATTACTTTTTATTATACAGTTAATTACAGATAGTACATTAGATGCTTAAGTGATTATAGATAGTACATTTAATCTAACTCTCTCGTATTGGAAAGAAACAGACTTATATTGCATAGAATGCACTTAAGGCTGCTCTTGTAATAAATGGATCTTTCTTACATCTGAATAATGTGAACATTCCTAGAACTGGCAGCTCTATATGAGCTCTGTGTTCTTTCATGGAAATAAATAAAAATTATATAGCACAGAAATATTTGGTGGAGGCAATTAAATATTTTCTCTTGAACTTAGACTTGTTTCTTCTAGTCTATAGTGGAAGTTGGATTTGTGCTGTAGCTAGTTAAGTAAATTTTTACATCATGCAAAGTAAGATTAATCTGTGTGAGGATACGGTAGTATGATCCTGACTCTTGCTGTTTATGCATTTGATTAGTACCCCTAAATTCCAGGAGACTTCACATATGAAATAGATTTCTCACCTACTTAAAGATTTGTAGAGCTGTATACATGTTTTTAGCTACTGCAAGCCTGTGTAAGTTGTAGAGTGTTTCCCCCTTATTTTTTTTTATTTTTTATTTTTCTTTAGTGTACTTCAGTGCACAGAGAATATCAGCCCAGGAGACTCTTCAAGAAGTTTTCAGTGCTCTGTTTGCAATACTTCCTTCAGCTCAGAATCGAGGTTTTGTGTCTGAGTTACTGGACTGCTGTCATATCATTGCTGGCCTCCCTTTGCATGTTAGCTTTCAAGCTTGTTAGTTTATGTGAATCCTAACAGTGAAAGAAGTCAAATGCTTTCATTCCTATTTGCCGTAAGTAATGCATGAGGTGGTCTTGGAATTCTGCAGTGCAGCATGCGTTAAGCTCAGTGTACTTGCTACGTGTCTGGTTTCTGTAGATACTGCTTTATGTGTGGTTTGGTTGTTTTTTTTTTTTTAAATCCCATATAGTTATGAACAGCACAAGGAGGCATGCAGAGGGGATGCCAGATTCATATGCAAGGCAGATAGCTGTGGCAAGAGGTTCAAGAGTAAGGATGCCCTGAAAAAACATAAAGAAAACGTTCACAGTGGTAAGAAAGAGTTTAATGTTTCTTCGGAAGAAAACCCTCTAACATGTTCCTAGCCTTAAATTTGCAAATCAGAGTAAACATTGTCTTTGGTTTCTTTTTTAATGGATTAATTTGTATCAAAAAGAAAATTAAGAAGTAACTAATTGCAAGAGTAACTATTCCTCCTCCCCCAGGGAGAAATTACTGTATACCAGATGAATCATTAGTCTACCGCAGAAAATGTAATAGGAATCTGGGGAAGTTTAAACTAGGCAAATAATTAGATAAAGCAAAACATTTCAGTAGTGAGGAAAATCAACCACTGGCACAAACTGCTACAGGAAGTGGTGAGTTCTTGATCTTTTGGTATTTTGGAAAGACAATGGGTTGTCTTTCTGGAAGACATGCTTCACAAACGATTAGGTTTGATGAGGGTATTGCATAAAATTCTATAGCCTCTGTTGTGCAGGAAGCTAGACCAGACAATCCACTAGTCCTGTTAGGCCCTAGCGTTTTTATATCTGTGCACTGTGAATCAATAGTTTTGAATCAAACTTCACTCTGTTTTCATGAAAGAGCAAAATACTGCTCTCAGGTCCACAATGCAGATCTCAGTTCTGGCATTCTGCTCTCTCTGCATGTTCCCTCTCAATGTCAATGGAAGATCAGTATGTGTGGGGACAGCAGAACACCAGAGTGCAAAGAAAACAGTCTTTAGTTGATGATGACAGCACTGAGATGCTTTGTAAGGTTTTCATTACATGAAACCTCTTTCTTCTGCCAAACTCTTACAGCGTACAGAAACCCTTCCATAACCATTCTTATAAAAGATTATCTCCTCTTTTAGTATCAGTAAGAATTTTTTTCATCCATGAGCATTGTTATGTTTAGGCTTAGCTACGGTCAGTTATGTAGTGGTATACAAATTCCGCAATTCTCTTGAATGATCGCTCCAGACATGACTGGGGGCAGACACCTGGAGGATATTTTTGCTCTGCCTGCACAGTGAGCAGAGGTTTTATTTTACCACTTGGGAGTCACAGAAATCACAACTGGGTGTCAGCGCAGGAAGGAAAATAAACTACTACTGTTGCTGGACACTTCTAAAATTCCTTCCTGCCTTGTGTTACCTGGGGGCAAGGGCAAGTAGAAAGGATTGTTACATGTGTTGCCCGTTATGCAAAGCTATGAACAGATACTCACCATCACCCTTCTCTCCTCTGAAAAGGTCTCATTAATGTTCTTGTGAGTTGAAATACTAAGTGTATTCCTGTATTTATGTGTATATTAGTATATATAAATACTTACCATAAGTTTTGTAGCAGCAAATGCATATGTGAAATTAAGTACTTTTTTTATACTACAAATTTAAGTATTGAGCCAATTGATTGACAGGGTACATACATTGTAGTAAGAAGAATCAATGTAATAAGAATTCTTTAGGACAGCAAGAGCAGGAAAGATGTAGGATGCTGAGAGTCTGAAAAATTGAGCTGGAAGCCACCTGATGAGTTTGTTTATGATCCATACTTCCTCTGTGCTTGACTAAGCAGTACTCACCTCCTCTTTTGTTCTGTGTCCGTTCTTTTTAGTCTTCAATGTAATATGAACATTTTTTACATAAGCTAGGAAATATCTTGCATGGGCATGTAATTATAAACAAATAATTAGGTTTGTGGTGGCTTTGTCTTGTAATAAAATAGCTTTGTGGGTTACTAAAATGAATTTCAAAAGGTAAATAATAGATAAACCCAATTAAATGCTCTGTCACTTTCTAAAGCAACTGTGAAAAGGGAAGGAAAATACATCTGGTATCTGACCTGTAGCTTGTTTTGTAATCTACATTTTAGATGAGATTTGAATTCATGATCTGGTGCTAATACAATTTCCCTGTCTTGTTCAGTTAAAGACAGTTAATGATATATAATTTTATATATCATTAATATATGCTTAATGCTTAATGCTTTCTGAATAAAGAAAAGTGGGAAATGGTGGTTTTGACTTCAGTTTGGGATCTTTTTTGTCATTGCTGCACTAACTCTTGTATTGACTTCTGGAAGAAATCAACTGTTCAGTTATAAAATGAGTTGTTCTTAGTTGTGAATTGTGCTCTTCATATTGGGTTGGTGATGTGTGATAACATCTATTTGAAGGGTTTTTTTCTTTATTGTTTTAGTTTTCTTGACTTACATTCCATCAGTAACTGGTTTATTGGACACCCACAGAGAACTCCTGATAGGGAACACTTTGAAGATGGGATACAATGTAAAAATCTTATGTCAGTCAAATGACCTGTGAAAAGTCACAGACTCAGTGGAAATATTTAGGTTCTTTCTTAGCACTTCCTTTTAAAGATGTTGGTGGTATTTTGTTTCTGTTTCAGGAAATTCTAGGAAGAAGCTGATGTGTTCAGTGTGCAATAAGAAATGTTCCTCAGCAACAAATCTCCAAGAGCATCGAAAGGTCAGTAAGATGAAGGCTAACCCACAGCAGGCTTTGACTTCACTAAGATGTGAGACTGTGGTGCTTAGGTCACTTGAAAGCTGCTGTAACGCAAACCTTTGGGTAATCTCTTTTGTGGTTACAAAACCAATGTATTTTATTGTGGGTATTTATTTTTGTAATCACAATTGATTAAACCAAAAATCTTTGTAAAGTTTTAATGCATCTTTTACCAAATACAAAGATGTTTGTGCTTGTATAATTTACGCATTCCAACATTAAGTCAAAGTTGCCTGCTGTTCTTCAGCATTCTTAAACTCTAAGCTAAATCTAAAAGTATGTTATGTAATGATAGGATACATACAGACCATAAAATAGGTTCATGAGCCTTCAGTTTTTGTACAAAATACAATCAGTCTTTCTTATTACTTTGTGACATATCAGTAAGGGTGTTATTTGTAATTTAGTTATGCAGTAGTAAAAAAATTTCTTCCTCAAAAACAAATTTTTAATGTCTTTTTGTTTACGCCTGTAATCTTTTATAACCAGAATAGGAGGGGTTAACAGTTTGAAAGGCATCTATTGGAAATAAAGGGGTTCATACAGAAATACAGATGGACTATGAATATGAGATTCTGAATCCATTATACCCAAAGGAAGTCCCTGTAAGATTAATTTGATAAATCACAAAAACCCAGGAGATTCTGTTTTTACAAAAAGCTACATTGTACTGTTTATCAGATTAACTGTAAGTCTTTAATAATGCCCTGGTTATAACCTGAATCCATTGAGGATATAGATGATATCAATTAAAATATGCTGTTGCAAAGGAAATGGTGGGGCCCCTCCTTTTTAATTTGTTTTTCTCCTTGCTTGTATTACTATGCCCTGCATTTCTTGTCTAACAGGGCTATACTTTGTTACTCCTCAGACCAAATCATGGTATGCCTTGCCACTTGTAATTACAATTTTTACTCATCACTGCACCTTATGGTGGCCCTGGAAGTGCAAAAGATCATTGTTAGTGTGTCCATTTTATTAAAATGTTTGTTTTGTTTTAGTAGTTGTAATTCTGTGCAGACACTATGATGCACTAACAAGTTTTTCAAGTAGCATTGATGGTAGGTCAGTTGAGCGCTTACTTATCTTAAGAATCACCACGAAGATTTTGTGCATGAAACTTCTTTATTTCCTCTTCTTGATTGGCTCCTCTTTTAAGACATCCAGAAAATAGATATCTCGGATTCACACACCTACATCAGATAGTGAAGGAGATTGCATGTAGGGCTCGTGCCTTCTGTTTGTTTGAATTACTTTGCTTTTGTAGGAAGTGGGGCAGGATCCATCACCTACATTGCCAAAAATATTTAGGCAGGCAGTAAAAACAGTAAGAAAATAATAGTGAAACAGGGAGGAAAAGAGATGGTTTTTTCACCCATTTCCTGTCAGTGTAAAGAAATAGGAAGTGTAGAGAATAGAAAGCTAAAGTGTAGGAGATAACAGAAAATAAGCCCAAAGAACAGAAAGAGAGAAATCTGACAAACACAGAGAAAGAATTTAAAGAGGTTGGCTATGGGGGAGATTAAAAGATCTGTTTACTCTCTGAAGACACGATCATTCAGATCTGCAGCTTTCATGTCATCTTTAAACCCATTTTTAGGTTTGTGTGTCTTGCGGATTGCTTGTGCCTTAAATGTCTAAAGATAAGCCCTTTCTTTGCCATGCATAATTAAACTTCGTTGTCATCCTCTTCTGTCCCTTAGTCTTACCCTCTTGGGTTATTTGGTTGGGTTTTTTTGTTTTTTTTTTGTTTTTTTTGGTTTTTTTTTAGTTTATCGCAATAAATTCAAGGAAATGTAGGGCTGGAAGAGACCTCAGGAGGTTTTCTAGCCCCCTCTTTTTTGCGGGGGGGGGGGGGGGTAAGCATGTGCCTAAATCATCCTAGATAGGCACTGTCTCGACTCCTGAAAAGTTCCACTAAAGAAAATTCTGCCACCTCCATAGGCGTCGCTTTGTATTCTGACTTTCAGCTTTAGTGCCATCAACTTTTTAAAATGTGTTCATTAGTCCAGTGTTTGTTTTTTCTGATGTCCTACTTAAATCTTCTTCTTTACTGCAAATTGAGTTAATTGCTCTTTGTCTTATTCGGGAGAATGCCAGGAAAAATTCACCACTGTCTTCTTTGTAACAATTAGCACATTGCAAAGTTGTTATGAACTGCATTTGCAATTCCTAGGGTGTACAAACACAGTTATCTCAACCTTTCTTCATGCATCTGTTTTTCCAGACTACTTTTTCTTTTAGTAAGCTTTTTGTTCTTGTAGATTCCCTTTTTCACCTTTATGCTTCTTGAAGTCAGCTGCCCAAACAAGAAGAGCAGTGATGCTTAGTTGAGCCCTTGGTAGTGCCAAGTATAGTGGAATGATTGTCCTGAGTTTATTAATACAGAGAATATGTCTATTAATACATCTCAAAATGACAGTGCTTTCTAACAGCAGCATCAATCTTGTTATTCAGATTTTGAATTCATTTGGAATTCATTAATGTTTTCTGTAGTGGTGCTATGTAAACTGTTGGTCATCACGTAGCATTTGTGCATTTGATTTCTCCTTCCTAAACATTGAGTGTTTTGGAGCTTCATTCAGAGTGTGAAAATCGTTTTGGATTCTGATCTTGTCTTCCTTAGTGATTACAGTCCTACCCAGAATAGTCCGATCTACATTTTATTATTTTATATTTGATTTCCAAAACTACTTACCATAATACCCTCCTCTTGCACAATGCCTACAAAACTTTAGCAACAGTTATGATGTTGATCCACTGATATTACTGCTTTTTGTGGCGATCAATATCTTTTTGTTTTCCGTTCTGTCTATGTCCATCTGTTCTCTTTTGTCTTATCCTCCAATTGTAAAGTGACATCCTTCTATCTGATACTTATAGTAGTCCATGATTTGGGCTGCTAAGTGATATGGTAGTATAAAAAAAAAAAAATTCCCGGCAAACACGACTCAGGAAATGCTGTATGGGAGCTTACAGAAGACTGGGTAATAGAATTAAAAAGTTTGTTGTAAAATCTCCTTTCTGCAGGTTTGTGATGTCTACTGCCAGAGCAAATGAAACACCATCTGAATTATATTCTGATACTAAGTTCTGAAGTTTAAGTAAAATGCAAAATTCAATCATTCAAGGATGATAATAGTGAGCAAGCAAGCGAGGGGAGTGTTGTCTTCATTGATGCAGATTCTTGCTAAAGGGTTCCTTTTGTACCTTTGAATATAGGTGTCTCATGTTTTGGATTTTAATTGCTCACAGGAGCTTAAACTTAAAAGTGAGCATATACATGTGAATAGCACAGGCTGCCAGGCCTCTCCACTGAAGCTCTACTGTTCTGTAAGTAGAAAGGGAAAAAAAATTCAAACAAATCCCAGCGTTGCTGGTTTCTTTTCCCAGGATGATGCAGTCGGAATTGATAGTGCTACACTTTCAGTACTTGTAGGTAGACTGGGTGGGTATATCTCTTTCTGGCTGTTCAGCTGTGGGGTGAGTGTCTGACTCTTGTAGGCAGGTGTTTTCAATGGTAAAGTAGCTAATTCTCCTGTTAAGAAAGAAGATTAAGGACACCTGTGAGTGTAAGGCAGTAAAGCTTTTTTGACTTTTGCCTTCCAACAGAGTCTCATCCAGTTCTTGCAGTGGTAGACTGAAATTCAAATTAGTTTTTGGAAAAGCTGATCATGGATTACTTGTATCTTCAAAGTTTTAGCTCAGTTTCACCCCCAAAACTCTTTTGAATAACCTTTTGCTTTTCAGTAGACCAATGAAAATTTTAAGATCGTCAGTCCTGTAAGTGAGGGAGTATATTTATCTGAGCATATATTAATCTTGTTCAGATGCGTGCTGTTTTGTATAGCACTTAGGAAGTTGCTATGTGAAGGTGTAGCTCTTCAAATGCCTGTGAAACAATTGTAAGTATGTTCTGACTTTAATGTAACGGAGGTTTATGTTGATAGCTGTAACAGTCCCCTAATGGGACTAATTTTGTTATACAAATAAGTCATTGCACGAGCACTTGTCTGTGGTATTATAGCCTGTATACTCATAGTGCGTGTTGCTTGACACGTTTTCTTAAAATGAAAATCCTTTTGAATATCATTATTCATAAAAATATTTGCTGTATTTTATTGCTGTTGTTTTGCCATGTAATTGTGCATTTTTCTAAAGAACTAATTAAAGAGTGCCAGCTATAGAATATATGCTTGATAGCAACAGCTATTTAATGCACGTGCACACAAGTCTGTGTCTGATTCTTTTCTAAAGCATTGATTAAAGAGTATCAGCTATAGAATACATATTTGATAGCGGTAGCTTTTTAATGCACACGCATGGAAGTCTCTGTTTTGATGCAAATGTATTCAATGAGACTGTTTATTAAACAATGCTTGTAAGTTGAAATCAGACACTTGTATAGTGTTAAAGCACAGTCTGGGTTCTGATGTATTAAATATTATGTTTAGGAATACCTTACAAGTTATTTCAGATAATTGTGTTGGGGGGAATTCTGATAGCACTTGGTTGCAGAATTATGTAAACTTCAGTTAACAATCTAAGTAAAAGTTTAGATCTTTTGGGAAGGGGTAGAGTAGTAGATTGTGTGTGCATATAAGAGAAATTTATCTGAAATGCAGGTGGGTAAACAGAATATTTAGAATGAATGATCTTCATTTGGGCTTACTACCTGATTCTGTCTGAGCATTTCGTTAAGTGTCACTGTCCAAAGTGTGCAAGTCTGCAGAGATTGTAGGAAATGGCATAACCACTTTTTAGTTTATTAAAACATTTAATTTGCTCTAAAGTTAGTTTGTGGGTAGCAGCATGAAAACATGGTGAGGCAGAATACTTACGGAGAATCTCTGTTTGTTTGTTTGTTTTAAGTGGAAGTCTTAGTTGAGCTTCTTTATTGTGCTGTCCGCAAATGTTTTTCATTAGAGTGTTGTGTTGAACCTTTAATATTTGTTATTTTTAGCTGCTAGATTCTCCTACAGAAAGTCTATAATGTTCTCCACAAAAGCTTTATGAAATGTGAGCTCTGCCCGGAAGTTTTGCTGTCTAAGGCTGCAGTTCCAAAAAGCTGAAATGTGTGTTCGGTTGCACTGGAACTAGGTTAAGGGGAGGCTGCCAATGGCAAATGTAGTACAGAGTGGAACGTGAATGGTAATCTTGACAGGTGGCGAACTTTGTATGTGTTGAGATTTTGGGGAACAATAAATAACACAGGATTTTTTTTTTAATTGAGTATCAGAAGTTGCAGCTCTCAACTGCCTCTTCTGTTTTTCCAACATTTAGTCCTTGATGACATTATGTGCTGTGATTTTGAAAATCCCGCTAATGCTTACTGCATTTACAGTTTAAGAGACACTGCTGCCCCTCCACTGTTTTGTCTCTAAAAGCTTTTAAGAGAAACAATCCTGAAACAGTTTGATAGTACTTGTTTTTTAAAATTCTTACAGCAGTTATGAAGTAGTTACTGTGTTATTTTTACTTATGTCTTACTGACTAGAAGGAAATGTTCTGAAAAGGTATTCTGCATCTACTGTATCGTGTTTTTCTAATGCTTTCATAATAATGGTATTTTAAATGGATCTAGTATTGCAAATTTGCATACCCTGTGTTTCTAAATATAGTTTTAGTGATAATTTTTTGTTTGCAATTATGAATATTTATTTTTTGAGAGATACTGTTGTTCACCAAGGGACTAGCAAGGGGGAAATCACAGAATATTCATAAGTATTAGTATAGCTACTAGCTAAGAAATAGTTACGGTCTGTTAGAGAATTTCTGTGTATGTAAGATGTTTTACCTTGTTTGAGACACATATTTAATTACCATTAAACACTCATTTTGCAGGTCCATGAGATCTTTGAGTGTCAGGAATGTGACAAGAAATTTATTTCAGCTAACCAGCTAAAACGCCATATGATAACTCATTCAGGTAACGTACAAAAATAACACAAACCTATATATATGTGTACATGTATTTAATGTATACAGGATTTTACCTGAATTAGTTTCTTGTAGAAGGCTTGATGAATTCTGGGTTGTCCTGAGCCGTTCAAGCAGATCTCAGGTTCCAAGGAAACCATCTAAGCTATCCTTTCTAAGCCTTTCAAAAATCCGAGTGTAATGCTATAGTCTTCTTCCTATTGCTGCTTTGTCAAGCTATTTTTTCATGCTAGCTGGGGTAGATGATGTTAGTTAGCTGGGATGGGCAAAAGATTGCTACTTGGCTTAAAGAGGAAGTTAAGAACCGTGGTTGAAATTTCATGTTGAAGAGAAGAGGATGGGTGCTGGGGTATGCTGTCAGACAGAGATCTGTGATAAAAAGGGAAACATTCATTGGACTCATGCACAAAGTTTCCAGCCAGAGGAAAGCAGCTCATACTCCACACCGTTTCATAGACCACACACAAATATTTCTTTGTGCCTGTTGTCTGCCAGAACAGGTCACTGTGAGCGGGGATTGGCCTGTCCATAGGTTTGGCAGTATGACACAAACTGGCTCTGCCAGGATTTCTGATCACTGCAATCTAGTTTTTCTATGTCTTTCACCAGTGATTAGAAACATCACCCAACACAATGGAAACAAACATTGTTCTGTCAAATACATTAGCATTTAAAAAATGCAGGTTTTTACAGCTGCATAGGCTTATAATTGAACTATTTTCTTGGTATCAGTCTGCACCAAAAGCTCATTTCTTGTAACATAATCTATATCTCAGAGGCTCCTAGCTTTCTTTTGACACTTTTGGATGAGCATTAATGTAGTTAAGTTGCAGTCACCAGTTGAAGCATAAAGGCTTTTTGCATAGGAACTTTTGGTTTTGGAAGCTAATATGTATATTGTTAATTAAGTTTTAAAACATTTAAACTGTCATGCCCTCTTTCACATTTGTAATCTGGAAACAGAGTTTTCCTCTTTGAAGTCATTCTCTTTTGATTTAAGCTAATTAATCAGAATTTAGTTTTAGCAATGATTATTGCAAAGAATGTGCCAATTTCTTGAGATACACCATGGCTCATCTTTTGTGAAGTGACTTAACTGTCTAACATAAAGGGCATTAGATGTCTTTCTAATTGGTTTAATCTTAATTGGGTTGACTTAATTGCAGAAATCTCTCTGAGGAGATGACTGTCTCTGCCTTTCATCTTCTCCCCCTGTATAAACAGGAGATTAAATGTCCCCCACTCATTTTCTGCAGAAAAACGCCCCTACACCTGCGAGGTTTGCAATAAGTCCTTCAAACGACTTGATCAAGTGACTGCACACAAAATAATACACAGTGAAGATAAACCTTATAAATGCAAGCTTTGTGGAAAGGGATTTGCCCACAGAAATGTTTACAAGAATCACAAGAAGGTAAAGCACTCTGCTGTTGTTGTTTACAGGTCTGCCAGCCTCAGATTTGCAGATTTTTTTTTTCTTTTAAGTGGTTCATCCTTAAGCTCTGGCATGCTTATAAACATGGGATTAAAGTATTGGAGAATGTATTTTTTTAGTGTTCTTTGTTATATCCAAAATCTCAAAATACTAAATGAATTCTAGTAAAAAATAAAAAGTGAAATAAGCAGAAGGGAATCACAGTGGCTTGGTTAAAAGCATCAAATAAATCCCCATTTTGACTTTTCTGGGGTTTTTTTTGTTGGGGTTTTTTTTTAATATTAGGTTATCAAGTTAAAAACGTAACTGATCTAAAATGTCTTCAAATTTTTTTTTTTTAAATACCATATTTGGTTAAAACAAGTGTAGTCCTGTTGCAGTCATTGTTGGACTTAGCAGCAGATGCTTTCAAACTGTGCTGGATTTGCACTGGGTAGTGTTCACACATTAAAACAACATCAGAAGAAACATTACCTGCAAAATAGGCTCATGAAGGGATGCTCCGCTTCTGTTGATTTAAGCTCAAATCTGCTTGGCCTAATTTCTACTATGCCTGTCATTATTTTTAACCTGGGGTTACATTTTTAATGGCAAGGTTGTATCCATGACTGCTGTTTCAGAATTACAAGACTGTAAAAAAGAAAGAAAGAAAAAATTACCTGTCTGGTTTTGTGCCCAGTATTTGGAACCCTTTGCTCTTTTTTCTTTTTTTTACCTTTACATTTTTTAAATACTAGCCCTTCCTTTCCCCCTTCTGACGAAACTGATATACCCATACTTACAAGTCTTTTGCAGTTTGGCTCATGTTATATGCCATCTGGGAATTTGGCACAGGATCTTTGCACCATCTCTTGCACTTCCAGCCATAAATCATGTAAGAGTAATAATAATGCCTCTCGTAGGATGAAATGGTGATGACTTTCTAAAACAGAAAGCATGCAGAAGCCTGCTGAAGGACAAGATTAGCTCCCATATATGCTGTGATTGTATCTTATGTTTTAGACTTTATTAAGAAAATGGGGCAGAATCTCACAAATTGGATATATTCTAAGGAAAATGTATAAAATACTATCTGGAAAGATACTTCTATATCTTAAATGAATACTTTTTACATGTTTCCTTATGTTAATTTGCAGTTGATGACTGGTAGGGAGTTTGGGCTGAAAACAGACTTCAGGATTAAGTATGAATGAGTAAACACTTTGACCCAATTTTGTGTTTAAAGCAGCAGCACCACTAGCATAAGCAAGGATTAGAGGCTCCACTTAATGGGAAAAATCCTAAAATTTAGACAGATTTAGTGAGTACCTAATTTTGACAGAATTCCATAAAGCATGTTGGAGTACTTATTTCCCAAAACTGTTTGCATATATTACTGGCTGTAAATCAACCCTGTCCTATAATGAAACAAACTTATTCCTGTGTTTACATAAAGTTTACCCAAACAGCTGTGAATATTCATACATCCACATTTAGGTCTCTAATTTCACTTGCTAAATGAAAAGGTGAGCATGAGAGACAGGAGACTGACATAGATGTCCTGAATTGCTTTTTTAGACACGCCTCTCTCCATTGAGTAAACAATGTAAACACGGAGAGGCAGTAGATAACGGAGGGGATGTGTATACACAAAACCAATTGTAAGGTGTAAGTCAAGCATGTGGTAGTTTGGGATGCCAAAATAGTTTTAAGTGCCATGATTTTGGGAGGGCTGCACTACTACTAGGGGAAGAGGACGATAGTTTTTTTTGCTTATTCACAGGAATGTCGATCCAGTAACAGTGGAAATTTAAACCTTTATTGTGTATCATACTTCTATGTATTTCTTCAGCTTGGGTTTTTAATGATTCGTTAGATGTGTATTCCTTTAAGATGTCCTCCTAGGTTTCATTTTCTTTTGGAGGAAGAGAAGTTGGACTCAGAATAATTTCAGAGTGCTTTTTTGAGTTCTGGGTTGCAGTTACTGTGCTAGTAGCAGGGAGCTTAGAAACCTGCAGTAGGAATGATGGGTATAGTAGTTAAAAACACTTAAATCAACAGCATTTAACAGAAAACATGCTTTCAAGTTTGAGAGCAACACGCTTGAAAAAACTCGTTAGGTTTTACAGTAGAGCTACATACTTTTTATTTATAATAAGAAACAGGATACATACACATTTTGTGCTTTTGAATTCTTGTTTTGTGTTTTAGATGGAAGCTTCTTGTTGCTGTTGTTTCTGTGATTCCTTTATGGGGGTTATTTAATCTGATTTTGTGTTGGAAGTATCAGAATAAAAATGGCTCCCACAACATGTGCTTTTAAAGATCTTTCAGATGTGGGTGAATGTTGGGTCATTTCAAAGGTGCAGAAGGAGATTAGTTCCTGACATTTCACAGGATTTCACTGGGAGATAGACAGTGGAGTTGCTAAGAGTGTATCTGCTCTATTCAGTGGAGCATTGTGATGTGAACCCTGACTTAGCACTCGTTACATACACCCTTACAGCTACAGATCTGAGAGGTAGGAACTGTTAGTCTTTCTGTGGTACCTCTCTGATGTGCTGCTTCTGCATACAAGTACTACACTGCTCTGTGTAGGTGCATGTGCAAGCTTGCTTTGTCACATGCTTGGAGATGGCAGCACCGGGAAGTGTTATGCGATGTGGAACTAGCTCAGATGTCTTTCGAAAAAGCTCAGACTATATGACTAAGTGATCATATGAAGAATACGGTTCCATTTTTGTGACAAGGCAAGAGAATAGTATCTGAAATTAAGAGGCAAATATGGTATTGGGTTGTGCTACAGATAAAAGTAGTCACCTTTCATCCAGGTTAGATTGGATTGCCATAAAAGCCACATTACTTCCATACAGGAGGAAGCGAAGTTTTTGTTCCATCTGCTCCTTTGTTGCGATGTCTAGAGGATGAGTTCAGAGAATAAAACATGAGGATGTGACAGTGATCAGAAATAGGTCAGCAGACACAGGATTTTAAAGGGTTTATGGTTAATCCAGGGTTGTTTGGTCCTGGGGAGCATAATGAATTGAAACAACTGTATTCCCTCAGTTTCTCTATTGGGAATAGGTAGCCTTGGGCTGAGTTTAAGCCTCCACAAATGCTATGGTAGGAAAGGCTGCCATGAAATATTCCATAAGAGCCCATCCTCAGTTGCTTTGATCGTATGGCTGCCCCCTGCTCTGACTGAATGGAAGCCATCTCTGATTTGGAACCTATTAGTAGGACAAAAAAGGACACTATTAGAACTAACATGCTCGTTTGGGGGGATATTGGCGTCATTGAGATTTGCATGTCTTTTTGTAATAGACCTAGCTTGTTTCTGGACCATTCACAAAAGAGGCAGATGATCTGTGTACCGTTGCATGTGGGTATGCCCAGTTAGGTATTTTTAATTTGTAGTGAAGTTAAGATGTGCAGATGAATAGTTGTATTTTGACCAAAAGACTAGGAGAACTGTCAAAGAGATGCTAAGAAGGAATTCTGTACAAATCACTGTGCTCTTCAGTACTATCACTCAAGTGGTGAGTGTTCTAAAACAGGGCATTTTTTAAATAAACAACATGAATTTTGCGCTCGTGAAAGGTGCCAGATTGACAGCCCTAGAGACTGAACCCTTCTATTTATCCACAGAACAGGTACAGCACAGACAGCAGCACTGCGAGCTTCCCCACAGTGTCTCGTCAATATGTCTCAACCCTGTTCTGGAGGAACCACCTGTTGAGGTGAGAAGGTAGTTCAGTCTCTTCATGTCCTGTCAATCCTTGGCCTGACTGCTGAAACTGCAAAGCAGGGTGTCAACTAATGCAAACTGTGATGTAAACCTGTAGAAGCTGGACTGAAACATTCAGCGGATTTTATGTAACCTGTGATATATTCCACACATTTGATGGTGCTCCAGTTGCCTTTTTGCTTTAAGTGACATAGGCTGAGGTCAAGGAATTGACTTTGAATCCAAAGCCTCTATATACCATTGCAAGTACTCTAATGTTCTGGTACCGTTGTGTATGTAAGAGGACATTTGTGTTAAAGTCAATCTAGGTTCAAGGCCCTCAGTCTACATCTAAATAATTATGCTGACTCCCCACAGTCCCTTTTTTTCCTCTGTAGTTTAAGGGATAGCTATAAATGTCATATGATATTATGAATAAGAGAAATAGATTATGTAAGTATGTACTATGCTAATATTTACCCTTAGTCTACAAAATTAACTCTTTTACCTAATTTCGTGCATATTGTAAAACACTTAGTGTCCATCCCCTTTTCCTCTTGGCACGCAGCTTCTACTTAAGGTCCTTTTGAGCTAATAGAATGTTTAGACACTGATGCTTTAAAAATTTGCTTTCCTTTGCAAAAATAGTAGGAAATTGGGTAGATAAACTGTATGGATTAATTTACTATCTACAGTGGGACAGCACTCAATAACGCTAGGAAACAGGGGAAGTGCTTTGAAATTTACAGAAGTAGAATGAAACTGGATGTTTCCTAAGCTCCAGAAGAGAAACCTGCTTCAGCAACTCTGCAGTTTGAGAGATTCATCCAAGCTTAGCCTTTTATTTTATTTTATGCCTTTGAGGCTGTTTCTCAGCTACAATGAATTTTTCTACAGCAAACAAAAATCTCAGTACTGATGCTCCTATGGTTTTTTTGGTTTTGGTGTGGTATTTGTTTTTTTTTTTTACTTTTAATACAGGAAGCTGAAACAAGGATATGTGAGACTAGTCTCATGATTTGAGAAATTTTCTTTGCCAAATTTTAGATACTATCTTGAGATAATCAGATCAGTTTTGCCTTCAAACTTAACTGAGAAAAAGGGTTTTGTGTACATGTGTTTAATTTTAAAGCATGTATTCATATTAATAGGTACTTAAGGCCAGTCTTAAGGCCAGTGTTAGTACTGATGAAGCAATACAACTGAGCCTTGTAGGTTTTTTTCCTGGTTATTCTATGTTTTTGATTCTGTTTATATGCACACCTCATTTTTAGGACTGGGAAGGTACATTTAGTAGGTAGCTGCTATGCTGACTTCCAGGATTCTGGATAATGGCAGAATGATTGTTTTAATTCTTCATCCCCTGATGTTTCAAATTGCTATGATATCCCCTCCTGAATCTAGTCTAGAAAATTAGCTATAATTACTGTAATGACAGCTAATTGATTTCCCTGACCCTTTCCTCTGACATGTTGTCTTTCATCTGCAGACCCATTCTGAAGAGAGACCATTCCAGTGTGAGGAATGCAAAGCTTTGTTCCGAACCCCATTCTCTCTGCAAAGACATCTGTTAATCCATAACAGTAAGTGCTAAGTCAGAGAGGAAAAAGAACTTCCTCAGTTCTCACATTTGACTGAGAAAAACAGACATATGGCACCTTGTTCCAATATGCAACTTGCTATGTTAAATTAGTTTTAACATTCAACTCTAACCCCAGGGAGTTAGAAGATTCAGAACCAAATTCAAACCTTGTCTTTAAAATGCACTTAAATGCAAATCCAAATATGCTGTAGAAAATATAGCAATGGTTTGAGGTCTAATGACAAGAGATTTCTTTCTGCATTAAGTATGATAGTGTCACCTCCATTTTAAGAAAGGAGAAGTGGAAGCAGAGATAACTTGGTGGTTTACTCAGCTTTTGTAGGTAATCTGGTTTAGAGCTTGAAACTGAGATTCTCTCTCCTGTGCCAGTCCAGGCTAATGTTTCCTGCCTCTGGCATAGAACTAGCAGCCCAGAGGAATGTTGTGGCCATTTTCGCTCATGAGTAACTTGTTCTTGGCATTCTCTACTGTTTTTTAACTGACTGTGTAAAGATTTATTTTTGGTGGAATTTTCTCCGCCTTTGATATTTACAGAGCCCTAAACTACCATTCAACCATGTGAATGTCAGCAATTTAGATTTTAGAAAATATTCATGGTCTAAAATCCTTGTAGCTTAGAAGAAGCTTTGATATGGGGAATATTTATGTTGGTATAATTAAAACAACCACAAACCTTTCTTTTTTTAATCCAGTATAACAGTGTTTCTGTTAGATGAATTATTAGACTGGTGTGTTTAGTTGGTTCTTTTACAATTATCTTCCAAAGCTTCTGCAGTTTCACAAAGCATTGAATTTTGTAAAATCTTCTTCCAATGTTAAATATTAAAAATGATGGGGAGAAAAAGTTAAAAACTTGTGTATTCTAAAGAACCAAGCATTTGCAGGATATCCAAAAGCAGTAATTCACAGTATGCAGAATTGTAGGCCTTGGTAAAGGTCTCTCTAAAAACACACACTTTGACCTTTTTTTTTTTTTTTTTTCAAGAGAATGGGAGCTCAGGAAATTTGAGGTCTTTGAGTTAGGCTTGTGATTTGTGGCAGGTTTAGCTGTTCCTGAACCACCACTATTTAAGCAAATATTAAAAATATCAGACAGTGAACTGCAGCGGCACAGACATTGTCTAATCAGTCTTCCTCAGTGCAAAAGGAGACGTGTCTCGCTGAGGGGCAGAGTAGGTGTTTGAAGGTGGTAACTTCTGCCATCTTTGCTAAAACTGTCTCCAAAATGCGTGAAAGCCTTAAACCGATAATATTTGCTATTTTTATTAATCACAGGGAAGATTTTCAAACCTTTTTTTCTTTTTTTGGGAAGAAAAAAACCAACAACTGATCAACTTAACAAGGAAGCCTTAATACAGCAGAATATAAGCAAAGCTTTTATAGTCATACTGCATCTCTTTTGTCTGTAGTCCTATAAAAGAAGTGTTGACAGACCAATAGCAAAGTGAAAAGTGAAAGTTGTTACTAGGATGAACTGAAGAATAAGTTGGTTTTAGTTCAAGGCTGTGATTAAAACAAGGGGCTCTGCTGTTGTCTGAGAAGAGCTTGTGTTCCCGGTGAAGAAATGTAGAACTCTTCCCCTTATGACCTACCTCTGAGACTGACAAGTTGTGCTGCCATGATAATGAGTTTCTGATATTTGAAATAACTCACAATTATAGGCATTGTCCTGCTACAGCTGGATGATAGTCCCTCTCATAGCACTGAAATATACCTGTTCTTTAAAGAAAGGAGAGAAACAAACCAGAATCTCTAGATGTATTTAGCTGGCTTTACTGTTCTGTGCTATAGGAAAGAAAAAATTGTTTGTGAAGCTTGAAACTTCTAGGAAGAATTGAAGTTCAGCCTACATCATATATTTTTAAAAAATTCAGTATCCTCTTGTTGTTTTAGAAGCAGGCACTCTGCAGAATGATGTAGAATGACTTAAATTTTATTTTACAAACGTAATTTACTGGAAGAAAATTATATTTCATAAATTCATTTTTCGGGTGTTCCTGTCTTGAAATTGGAAAAGGCATCATGGATATAACTTTCAAAATTCAAGATCAAATATGTCTAACTAACAAATAATAAAAAAAAAAAATCCAAGCTCTCTTTTTTCTCCTAGGTTCTAGCTGTGTAAACATAACTTGTTTTCTGAGAGTAAGATAAGCTTTTTCTCTTAGGCATGCTGCTGGTAATACTTTTAGTAACTGTGTTCTCATTATGTCATTGGCAATGCTGGGGCTAACCCTTTATTCTCAGCTGTAGTGTTTAGGAAGGATATATGATACATGATAAGTGTATGGTAGCTCATACTTGGGTAATAGTAGCTCATGAGGCCGTAAGAGACCTGGCTAACAAGAATAAGTAACCCTGAGCATTCTCACTTGGGTCATTCAGTTGTCTAGGATTGTGGAGACATGCATGAACAGGATGACATTGGTTTAGAAGGACATCGTCCTTTATATATATTTGCTTTCCAGAGTAAAAATCTACGTGCAGAATGCTTGTTAGTAAGAGAAATACTAATTAGCTCCTTCTGCAGGGGTCAGCAGAAGTGGTACTAAAGATTGCTCATTTCAAGTAAAGCACAAGTAGCCCTGATTTTCATTATCTTGTTTTGTCATAAGCAGAGTGCATCAGTGGAGTAGATAAAGCCAGTTCCAGGAAAGACACTCACATTACATTGTGTATTTCTGGGGGAAACCACTGTAGGATATATTGTGTCAGTGCTGTGTTTCCGTCTTTGGAGGCATTTGTGGATATTGATATCGTAGTTTTATGTCAAGTAGTCTGAAAAAGTTTCCCTCCTTCAGTGGTTTCAAGAGCTGAAGTCAATGATATACTTTCTTGTTTACTTCCATTCTCTAGAGTGCCTAGGCCTGAAGAGAATCTATGTATATCTTTTGCTATTTTATTTTGTAACAAACCTCTTGATCTAGCACAGTGCAAACCTGTTGACTGAATATACATGGTGGAAATTCTTTACTTCTTATAAATTAATATTAGAAATTTATTTGGTAACTTTAATATTACTCTTATCTGACAAAGACGGTGGAAAGAGTTGGTTTTTGGCAGTGATAGTTCTTAAGCAACAGGTATGTTCTTACATTTACCATATGAAATCTGTTTGTTCTTTATCACAACAATGAGGTATCATTAGATAGGTTGCGTAGCTCTGTTTTTTCTGCAGTCTTCTACAAGAGGATTTCCAGAGCTTCTCAGGGAGTTTTAGTACTCACATCTTGTTGCAAGTGATTTAGACTTTTGCTTTATGCCTAAAGTTGAGGAACCTTCTGAAACTCCTTCCATAGTTGTGTATTAATGTTTGTTTTTTGGTTTTTTTTTTTAATTAAATTTTCCTGTATCTTTGTCTATGGCTTAAAAAAAAGGAAGACAAGACATAAAGACTGTTCAGTGAGCCAACTGTGAGTGGAGATAGTGTTCTGATGGCTCTTCTACAATGAGAATAGGGTTTCTGCTAAATAAGGAAGCTGAGGAGAAACACTGATTATTTGCCTTCATCCAGGATAACATTTGAAAAAATACTCAATTCTAGGCTTCCCGTTACTTTGCATGTTGAAAAATTTTGCTAAACTGAAGCCAGGACTTGGCTAAATACATAGTTGGCGTTGCAACTATGTATAGTTGAAGAGTATTATAATGTGTACACACAGAGGAGATATGGTTGAACAGTATGTTAGTTATGAAATTCCCTGACTTTGGAGGTTTTTTATTTGAAAATTGATTGATCTTTTACTACCTTATTATTTTTTTTTGTTGTTTGAAAGTCATTTATCTTCTCAAATCATAATAGAAGTGCAGTACTGAAAACGATAGGAAAGGTTGCAAACAAAACTTTACCAAAAAGGACAAATCCTCCTGAAACTCAGCAAATGTTGAATTGTGTCTTAAACCATAATGATATCATGTAAATTTATGGAAATCATGCAAATATTTCTTACTTCAGAAGACATGGCAATTTGTTCAAATTATGTCTGGTGTTGCTTCATTTTTTTCAATTTATTTTCAGACTTGGAGCGAAGTTATTAAGAGGCGGAAAGAAACAAATGACTACCTAAAAAAAAAAATCCATGAAGCCTAGAAGTTCTTATAAGAAGTAACTTTTAAAAGAAATTACTTGAATATTTTTCCTTTGTTGAAGCAGTAGAAAAGTGCATGTTACTTTAGTAAAAATAGTAATGACTTCACTTTGTTAGCAGGGTAGTCTCATGTTCCCAAGAAGAGGACTGAAGTGATTCACTGAACAGTTAGAAGCAGTATCAGTGTTAAACCTCCACATAACAGCATATTAAATTGCATCCCTGTTGACCTTGAAAATTTTTCTGAATAGCTACACTGAAAGTATTTTAGGATAAGACAACTTACACTCTAACACCTTTTAGCATATTCTTCTTGTGTCACCCAAGACAAAACCACTTTTATTTCCAAACCAACAGAGAATGAGAGGTTTGGGGTGTGGGGGGGTAGTTATGGTTGGGTTATGGGGGAGAGAAGCAGTTAACTAGGCTTTGGAATGTCTGTGGGTACTTCAGGCACCACTGTATTGTTAAGCTTCACTTATATGTATTACATGTATAATATATAATAAAGAAAAAAGTTTTTTGGTGCTTCAACATGGAGCATCAAATCGGCTTTAATATGCAACATAATGAAATCAATTTCCATTCATATTGGCCTTTGCACTGGGACCAAGGCTGGGATGATTTTATCCTTTATTGAGCTATAGCAAGGAAATAAGTGTACCTCTACATGTGCATCATTGCTACTGGAAAAAGTAGCTTGTGCTTATACAAGTCTGTATCTTATTCATATGGATCAGGAGACTGCAGATCAGACCTGTGTTCTAAAAAATAAGAAGTGGAGGATAGTCCTTAGATTATGGTGATCTTTCTTTGTGATGTAACTGCTTGGAAAGCTTTTTGGGATATGGGCACCTGATTTCCAGTTTAGACTGTGGATTTCTGAATGAATGCCATGTTGCAGATGTTTAACTTTTAATCAAGAAGTTAACAAATAGAAGAGAATATTCTCTTCTGCATTCACAGTAATGATAGAGAGAAGGTTCATTGTAATGATTTCTCTGAAGAATCACTTCCCCCCTCCCCCCCCCCAAAGATGTATGCAGATTTTCAGAATACAATGTCTCTTCCCCTCTTTTAGGTAATTCATTGAATTTTAAAACTATTAGCAATATTAACCTGGCCTCTGCCCTAACCTTCAACCACATCAGCTCAGTTTGAACAGTAATATTGCTGTAACGCTTAAAAATTACTTCATCGTTATCATATGAGTTTGCCTCTATTGATGTGAATGAGATAGGTTACTCAAAGCAAGTATTTCTTGTTTTGAGAATTCTTTTAAATTCAGGAAGATGTCTTACCATTTAAGTTTCAAAAGATGAAGCCTATTTCATCTTTTTGCTTGTTACCATAAAAAGAGTCTGTTACTGGAGATGCTGATAAAACCTGTGCTCTGTTTCACTGGAAGCCATTTCCACTGGTTGCCATTTCACCTTTGGCTATAGAATTTAATATCACAATTCTGGCTATGTTGTTGTGATGACTGCTTTCTACTTTCTTAATTTCCCAATGACATTTTTACCTGATGTGATACTTCTTTTCTTTCTGTTCTCAGGACCCAGCTTTTCATTTGTCCTTGTTGCTTTTATTCATTTTTCTGAAACAATAAACATTAGCGTATTTCCACAAAAATCTGGTATCTTTAAACCTTGTTTTTCTCTTTATAAGGTGAGAGAACCTTCAAGTGTGATCATTGTGATGCTACTTTCAAAAGAAAGGACACATTAAATGTTCATATTCAAGTTGTACATGACGGACATAAGAAATACAAGTGTGATCTCTGTGACAAAGCTTTTGTGACACCCTCAGTCCTGAAGAGTCATAAAAAAGTGAGTAGAATCAGTTCTATCATATTCATTCCTTCTGTGTCCTTAAAGTAAAAACATAAAATCCCCAAATGCTTCTGCATTTCTGGCTTTTCAGTAGAAATCTGTGACGATGCTTAACATTCTAAAATGCTTATTACAATAGTGGGGTTATTGGTGGCATGCAGAATCTGCAGCAGGTGCATATGTATAAATCCAGTGTATGTACTCCAGCATCAGGTGTGTAGCCCGATGGGACTTGCTGCACTGCTCTTACCATACTCCTTTCCACTGATCTCTGCAATGGAACTGGGGTAAACTTTAGAAGAAAGCTTGTGCACTAGTTTGGCCTGAGGTAAGATTTATGTTAGGGGAAGAAATGTGAAGAAAACAATTGAATCAAGAACAAATCAGCTGAGGAAAATCAGCTCAGGTGTTGCCATGAAATGCAGATTGTGAGAGTGCATATATTATTTGCCATATAGTATGCACTTCATATATGCATGTAAAATTGTAATAACAAAAGTGAGTGTAACTGAGTTACTTGGTACAATATTTGCAGCACATGATTATGGTGAGTACTGTGCATTACAACACAAATCTACATTTAAAATTGAGGAAAAAATGTAAGGGAGTCTTTCAACGTCTCTCCAACCCTACTGTGTCTTACAGGTGTGGGAACTAGCACACATCTTTGGAGCCTACATCAAGTTATTGGCAGATAGCAGACTATTGAATTCTCTAATGTAGTGGACAGCACTGCCTCCTTTAAAGTGTTTGATTTTTAACATGTTTACAGATTGCAAAAAGTAATGGAACCAACTAGGAGCAAAGTCTCTTTGGTTTCTTTGGTGGTCTTTTAAAGGTCTTGGTCTTCCGTTAAATGTATGTAAATGCATTTGCTGTCTGTCTCTGTCTTCAGTCTGTTTTAAATGTTGCTAGTCTCATATTTAATATGCATTAAGTTACTTACTAATTATAGTTGCTGGAAAATAAAGTTTCTTGTGATTGAGTGACATAACTGTATAATGAAGATGTATTTCTCCCAGATACACTTAGTGGAAGATTTTCACCTGTACTTTAGAAGAACTAGAATGACATGGGGTTGCCTTGTTGGTACTTTTCAGTACATGTACTGTGAGATGATTGAGATTCAAATAACCTGATTCATCAGTTGTTCAGCCTGTGAAATCAGCTGAGTTTTGCTATAATAGGGAGAGAACTTTATATTATAGGATACTCTTCCTCTCTTCTGTTATATTACTTTTAGAATAAGGAGTATGAAAGAACATTTGTTTTTCAAGCCCGAATATATTGGTCTAAGGAACTCAAAAATAAAGGGTATACAGAATAAACTTGCGGTTTGTTTCTGATTATGTTCTTGGGGAGCAAGACTTTAGGAAGGCATAGTATCTTTCATTAGACAAACTGATTGGTTTGGAAGAAACAAACTGTTTTTCAGACGCACAATCCGTTTCATCCTTATCTACTTGTTTTAATCACTTGAGTAACACACGTAGCCTGTAATACTGATACATTGATTTGAGATTAACTTTTTCTGAAGGATCTTGCCAAGATGGATTATAAGATCCAAAAATCAAAAATATTACCTGGAGTCATTGATGAGCTCTGCATAATTTTTTAAACTTCTGTTACTCAGATTCCTTTCTAAAAAATTCAGTATGACTTAACTATTTCACGTTAAAAATGGCCATATACATATATGTATTTGTATTTTAATGGAAAGCAGCTACTGTTTATCGTTTATCCCTATTCCTTCTTAATTGTAATTGCTATTGCTTTGTGCTGCTGTCAGACTAGGACTAGCTGTATGTTTGTGAACCTTGTAGTTGTATTGCTCCCGGAAATCCTTTTTTTTTTTTTTTTTTTTTTGTGTGTTGTTTGGAATGAATTAATAGCTGTCTGTCTGCTATCCCCCAATGTTGCTGTTAGAGATATAAGTTATTTCTGAAGAACTCTATCCTAATCAAGAGGGATTTAATGTTCATATCCCTAATATCAGGGAATGAAAACTATGCAAGTCCAGTATTGAATTGATATCTCATTTACTCTTCCTTGAGCTGCAGCATAGTATGTACTATGTGAGATAAGGTTTTTATGTTGTAATGAAAAATTTTATATCACTTCAATGTCTTTCATGAAAATAAGAATTAATTTCCCTATCTGAAGAGTCATGTGCAAAGCTTGAAACCCAAATTGTCAGCTGTACATATAATTTATTGTGTTATCTTTCCTATTCCATTTAAATTAAGTTAACACTTATAAATTAAGTAATCCAAAATTCTCCACTAAAAGAGCAGTCACAGTTATAAGGAAAAGTTACTCAATAGGCTGATAAATCTTCAGTTCAGAATTGGGCATTGAAAGTACAGTATGAAAAATGATGAGAACCGTGTATGTAACTTACTTCAAGGTGGTCTTGCTGTTCACCACAGAGGTTGGATGGAAGAGTTTGTGATTATTTTTTTCTCCATTTTTGAAATAATTCTTCTATCAGCAAGGCACTCTAGCCTTAAAAGCTTGATTTCAAAAGACAAGCTCGGTGTATGATTTAGTGTTAGTGACAATTACAATATACTTCTTGTGATCAATTCCCTAAATGCAATCTGATTCCAGCATTTATTACAAACTAGATAGGATCCAGTATGCAATTTGTGTTGACTGAAATCACTGAGAATTTGCAGTTTGAAGGATTGTTGTATGTCAAACTTCAGATGAACTGATGACTGAGTTCCATTCATATGTGGCAGAAATCATGCGCGCAAATCTCCATAGAGATCTTTTAAAGCTCCAGTTCAAGTTTGCAGCAGGAAAAGTTATACTAGGTTAGGTAAATTATTTTCACTACACTTCATAATGTAATAAAATTCTGTGAAATTAAAAGCTTTTAAAAACAGACCCATTTGTGAAGATTAATTTTATTAGGTAACCAAATTATTGTTTGCTGGTTTAGAAACCACTATCACAGATACCAAACTGAAAAACAGGTGTCTTATTCTTGCAATCATGAAAATACACGAAGGTAAATTGGGCATTTTTAATAGTAACTATTTAGGAAACAGTAAACTTAGGAGCTGAAAAGCCAGTTTATTTTGCCATTAGTAATGAGATTTGTTTAGAAATTTTAGAAGAAAATTGAAGGAACGCCTATAGCTAATTCCTTAGAATCTACGCCTGATGTGATGGTATAAAATATATATGGACACAATAGTGGTCAGTGTCAATACAGTTAAAATATTCCATGTTTCACTTCTTTCAAAGCTATGCTGAAGCTTTCATTCTTGTCTTTCCCCACCCCGTGTAGACTCACACAGGAGAAAAAGAGAAGATTTGCCCGTATTGCGGACAGAAGTTTGCAAGCAATGGAACACTGAGAGTTCATATTCGAAGCCACACAGGTACAGTGTTGTTAATTGTAATGAACAGAGAAGACTTTCTAAATATGTAACAAGGTATCTGTAAGTATGTCCACAATTTGTCTAGCTACAAATAGAAATGCAAATTTACAGGTAGGCATAACACAGCATCTTTTTCAGACATTTTACCTGCTTCGTGTGTAAAACCAGATTCTATTCTCAACTGTAATTATGTATGAATATGTGTGTGATATGTATATTAATAGTTATATGTATATACAATATGAGTTCATTCATCTCTATGGAAGCTAAGGTGTTTTGAAACTCTGATTTCATATTAATGTAACTTCTGACCTTATCACAACCTGCATGTTACCCGAATTAGAATGTTCTACCTTGAGTATGCTTTAACTCAAAATTTATTTTCCGTTGCAACATCTGACTCGTTCTGCTGATCTCCTAATATTCCTGGGTCTGAGTTATGTAACTTATTTTATATTGCCACCCAGATTGCGTTACTGTTTCCCTGTCATGTTATATACGTGCTTCTGTAAACACACTGAAAATAAATTAGTCATGTTGTCATGTTGATAGGTTTAATTTTGTGAACTTACGCTTTCATTCAAATAAGTGGCAGGCAACTGAAAGGGGTTTCTTTGTGATAATTTGTTTCCAACATATAATGGTATAGATTTGCCTTTGGCAGTCAAAGCATCAGTTAACAAATAGCCTTCCTATGACATTCCATTCACTTCGCATAAGCAAATTTGGTTTGCAGGGAGATGACAGAATTGTTGTTTTTAATCATTTGGCTTTCTACTATGTTTGGAAAAGTCTTAATTGCTTCAGTCTATCAAGACTACCTGTTAAGATTACAGGTTTTACTGGTGTCATGGTTTAACCCCAGCTGGCAGCTAAGCACCACAGAGCCGCTCACTCACTCCCCCCCGGTGAGATGGGGAGAGAATCAGAAGAGTAGAAGTGAAAAAACTCGTGGTTTGAGATAAAGACAGTTTAATAGGTAAAGCAAAAGCCCTGCACGCAAGCAAAGCAAGGCAAGGAATTCATTCCCTGCTTCCCATCAGCAGGCAGGTGTTCAGCCATTGCCAGGAAAGCAGGGCTCCATCATGCATAACAGTTACTTGGGAAGACAAACGCCATCACTCCGAACGTCCCCCCTTCCTTCTTCTTCCCCCAGGTTTATATGCTGAGCATGATGTCGTATGGTATGGAATGTCCCTTTGGTCAGCTGGGGTCAGCTGTCCCAGCTGTGTCCCCTCCCAAGTTCTTGTGCACCCCCAGCCTCCTTGCTGGTGGGGTGGGGTGAGAAGCAGAAAAGGCCTTGACTGTGTGTAAGCGCCACTCAGCAGTAATGAAAACATCCCTGGGTTATCAACACTGCTTTCAGCATAAATCCAAAACACAGCCCCATACTAGCTACTATGAAGAAAGTTAACTCTATCCCAGCCCAAACCAGCACAACTAGTTTTTGATATATTATGATTTTTGGATTTGACTGCTATAGACACTAGCAAATTTTTATCGTGGTCCTGCAGTCAGGGTAAAAGGCTAAAATTGCCTTTTTTCTTTAGCTCTTACTCTTTACTAAGTTCCATGTTTGGAACATTTATCCCTCATAGCAGCTGTATAAAACCATATACATATAAGCCTGTGTATATGCATTCTGCTCAGGTGGTTCACGTATACTTATAATCATAGACACAAAAGACACTGAAGGTCAAAGCTGGCAAGACCCAGAATCACAATGCAGCAGTTCTGTCCATTCCTCCTTTTTATTCTTGTTCTTTCTTCCACAACTCCACCTTATCAACTCCTTTCAAAGTCCTTCCTGCACAATCTCACCTGTTCTGTCTTTCTCTTCAGTCTTCTGTCCCCTAAGCTGTGGGTTTCTCTTCTTTTTTTTTGACTTCTTGAAGATGCAGAGGAGAGGAAGAAAAAAAACCCCCACACTCATGAAGCATGTGGTATGAGGACATAGAGAACCCTTGGGGACTGTGCCTTTTTGGAAGGACCAACCACTTATCTACCCGGGCTGTACTTTAATGAATCAGGTAGACAGACGTAAAAGGAAGCAATTCAATAGTATTGTTTGTTAGTCACTCAGCACATCAGTCCAGGCTTCTAGGAATATGACTGCCTTGACTTCTAATCTGTGTTAATTTTTTTCATGAAGTTATTTTGTAACTAAGTTTTAATTATGGATATTTCTTTACCTTCACCTTGCCATCCCATGAGAAGGAACTACATTACTCTTGAATTTTCTGATATTTTGGCATACTAGACTTTCATGAAAATTAGGACTTTTATAGATTCCCCCTTCTTCCACCCCTTTTTCCCCCACCTCCCCCCAATGCTTAAAGGAATATCAAAATGTTACCCTAATTCTTCACTAAAATCTCTGGATTCACATTCCAATGTTTTTTGCAGGCAGGTCTGCTTTATTGCCTTTAGTCTAGTGTGGTGCTTTTATTTTTTCTTATTTCACAGGCCCTTTTTTTTTAAACTTCAGGTATGTTTTCTGTGTACTGTCGATGTTATACATCAGTTTGCACACAGTAGAAAGGCCCTAGTTTTTCAAGTTGATAGTGCAGATATGGGAAGCTCTTGGGGAAAATGCTTTATAGCTCTCTGAGTGAAAATGCTTTTCACACATGTACTGCTACCAGTTACGTTTAATGTTTCAGCTCTCTTAGGCAGGCTTTCCTAAATTTAGGAGTTAGGCTGAGGTGAGTTTCATGAAACCACACACCAGAGACCTCTAACCTTGACTATAGAGCCTTGCAAAATTTGTAGTCGCTATTATACAAGAAACAGTAAACTGTGACATTTTAAACTTACTTGAAGTAAAAAGACACTGAAGATTTCCAGTACGTTTGTAAATTGAATACGGTGGGAGAAACTACCTTGCCAGGATATGACACGGATTGGAATTACGGGAATACGCAGTGTGAAAACAACTTATGAAAGAATAACACTGCAGAAGGAGGGAAACTTTCAAGGCCTCTTTCTTTACCTAAAAAGCTAGAAGCACTCATTGTAAAGAGAGTTACTAATGCAGGAAAAATGCCTTGCTAAATTCATTTATGATGACCTGTGATAAATAAACTCTGATCCTTTCGTCTTCCAGTCTAGCTGCTATTGTGATATCAATCACACTTTTAGTGGAGAATTTTGTGATTCACAAAATTGTGTGAAAATCAACTGAAATACATTTTCATGGTTGTTTTTGATGTCATTCTATTATGATTCCTGACCATTTCTTGATATCCTGATGAAATATGGAAAAAAGAAGAAAAAAAAAAAAAAGGGGGGAGTTGCTGCTAAGTTGTGACTTGGGGTTTAAAAAAAAAAAAAAAAATCGGCAAGTTATATGGCAAAATGCCTTATGTGAGGTTTGGTGAGAAAATGCCATAGTTAGATTCATGTTGTACTTCTGGAAAGGTGGTTTTGACTTGTGCTGTACCTGAAGACTTCAGCCAAGCTGCTCATGATCATAATATATGCAGACTAATCACAAGAGGAAATTGTTGTCCAATGTTCAGTGGGCCTGAGGAAGCACAGTTTTCTGAGGAATAGCTTGCATGATTTCCAAAGAAAGTAAGGGTAGTTGGTGAAGGGAATCCGTGTCAGCTGCAAACAGTACAAAAAAAGTTGAGTACTCATTTGATGGCTTTTAGTAATAAAGTTCACTGCATCGTGAAAATGCAGGGGTTTTCTGAGCAGTAAGAAGTTTTCAGTTCATCAAACAGTGGGGCCACAAACTTACTTCATTCAGTGATGGATGTTTGGTTTCTAAATGTTGCAGTATTGAATACTTCATGCTCTTGGTATCTATTAAATCCTGTGGTTTTGAATTAATCAATTCAAAACTGTGCCCTCCTTTTTTTTTTGTCAGACTTCAAAGTATCACTTTTCATTGTGAGCTAGAAGTGAAACAACCAGCCACTGTCCGTTTTCAAGAGATGATTCATCTTTGCGAATAAGCCTTCAGCGGGGGGGCTAAGCTTTTGGTGCAACTAAGCAGTACACCATAAGTGTAAATATTGCGAAGACCTTCATGTCTCAGTGATTACAGCTGATTAGGTTTGAGGTCCTGGTGCAGACATTGGTGTTATCCCATTTTCTGTGCACATGGTCAGCTAGACTTTGTTTTATTAGCTACTTTGAATAAGAGGCTTTGTTCTGTGTTTACAAAACAAAGCAGGGCAGAGTTCTTTTAAAGAGAGTTGTGTATCAATTTTTATTCTTTTTTTAATTTATAAAGCTGTTCTTTATAAAACTTGAGGTTCTTGGGTACCCTCCTGGTTCTGCTTTGGAATTGTATTTTTTATATACTTAATAATCCATATACAGAAAGAGAAGCTCAATGGGTTTTTGGCTTTTATTTGATATGCAGCATGTGTTCTTAAATATTGTTAATCACAGATGTATGCATGCTTCCTCGATAAGCAGTTTTCTTCCATCTTTTATCTTAGAGTAAGACTCTGTAAATGAGCCCTAACAGTAGTTGGCCTTTTGCAGAAACTGAGCTGGTTTGGGGTGAGTGAACATGTCTGCCTATGCATGTATAGAGGGAAGGGGTTGATGTTTGCATCTGAACCTAGCATATTGCTCTGTAATTCATCATCTGGGTTTCCAGCCTTGGCATGACAGAGACAGCGCTCTGTAGGTCAGCTGAAACACTATAGCACATTCTCCCTCTGCTGTATCCTGATGGTTTATGACTTCTTAGGGTCAGAGGGAGCTGGGGTTAATTCAGCAAAAGAATCCTCTGACTGTGATATAAATTCCTTGGCTTGTTCATAAATTGTAAAAGAAATTCTATGGTCTGCTCCTTGGGCTTGAAAACTGGGGGCCAGGAGGTTAATTACTTCCCTAAAGTTTCAAGCAACTTTCAGTGTTAACAGTTACTGGCTGCGGTTTGTGCAGCTTCGCAGTTGCTTTTTATACATAGGTATTTAAATATGTTAATTGCTGTCTTGTTTGTATGTGTATGTATTTGTGTGTGCTTATGTAATATA